CCCTATTATATTTATTTTATGGCATTTTAGTTTGTTGATTTTTTGTTCTTTTATTTCATTTAATTTTTTAGTTTTTTGTTTTTTTGTGTTATTTATTTATTTTTTTAATTTTGCTTTTCGTAGTTCATACCTTTTTATTTTGATTTTATTTTCCCTTTCATCTTTTTTGATTTTATTCCTCTTTTTATTTTATTTTTTTCGTTCGTTTTTAATTTTATTTTCGGTATTTATTTTTAAATTTTTTTCCAAGCTTTAATTTTTTAATTTGATTTTTAATCTTAATTTATTAGAATTTATTTAATTTTTCAGCGCTACGTATCTAATGATGAATTCTACCAAGAAGGTGCTCCGCTTTTCATATTTGTTGGCGGTGAAACGGAGAGTACACCCGCCCTTGTGACCGCTGGACATTTGTACGATCTAGCCAAGGAGCATAATGGTCACCTTTTCCGCACCGAACATCGTTACTACGGTCAAAGTCGCCCGACAAAGTGAGGAAAGCTTAACTAAATAAACAATTTTATTTCCTTAATATTTGAAAAATTTTTCCCCTTTTGTTTTATGCCACAAAAATGTTCAGCAACTTGGACAACGAAAATATCAAATATTTACATGTGCGTCAAGCTATAGCGGATTTGGCCCACTTTATTGGGGAGATGCGTGCCACAATAGCAGGCGCCACTGAATCGAAGGTTATACTCGCTGGTGGTTCCTATTCAGCCACACTCGCGACATGGTTCAAGAAACTGTATCCTGAATTGGTAACTGGTGTTTGGGCGTCGAGTGCGCCACTCCTTGCTAAAGTCAATTTTGTGGGTGAGTATTTTTACCTGAAAATCACCGCAAAAAGCTCCGAATCCAAAAAATCCAAATTTTACTGCATGCGCCATTTCCTAACCCCCATTTTTCATTTAACCGCAGAGTACAAAGAAATAACCGGTCAATCAATTCGCCAGGTTGGCGGCGTAGCTTGCTACAACCGTATTGAAAACGGCATCGCCGAAATGGAAGCTT